TTTTTGCCCCTGCAAGCCCTGCGAAAAACGCCGTGGAAAGCTCTGGGGAAAAGCCTGAAAAGCGCTTGTAGGACTTCTGGCTGGCAGCTCTTTAAGTTCTGCGGTTCGTAGCTGGCTTCGGAAAACTGAAGTTCTGGCTAAACGACACTCGGAGGGAGATGGATGGCAAACAAACCGAATTTCGTCGAATTGCCACTCGAAAAACATGAAAGGAAGCACAACTATTCATTGTTTGCATACCATTTGAAATCAAAGTAAATGTATATTTATGTAATTAAAGTTTCCGTGGGACGATCTCATATTTCCAATCACTTCTGAGCAAAACGAGCAAACGGGCTACCAATTAATTTCGCCCAGTGCAGCATCTCGAAATGAGCATTGACTGATGCCACTGCAGATGGCCATTGAATGGATTTTCCGACCAAAGGCATTTCCTTTACAGGCAGCCTCGAATTTTCCTTTCTCCGCTCCGGTTTGCGGTAGAATTCCATTTCGGTTGCGGGCAGCTGGAATGCAGCAAATACTCGATTCGATTGCCAGAGAAATGGAATTTTTGCATATCCATCGCACTTGTAAATATAATTTAAGCAATCTTTCATAATTCTCCGTGATTTTTGATCGCTGTTTCGGTTTATTTTACACACTTTAAAGATACCCAACTATGTATATGTACCCCTGTCTGCACTTAATTTCGTAAACAGCAAAGTTTATGAGCAGCGCCATTTGGGAGTTCGCTTAGATTGTTGGTTGTTTGTTTTGTTAGATTCTAGATTCCTTTTAGGCGGAAATGAAATTTGTACAGTTTTACAGTTTTAGAATTTCGCCGTAAAAGGGTTTCATGTTGTTGCGTTTTTAGGGGACCGCGCTGGTTTGAGTGGACTATAAAAGCTTTTTGCCTTTGCCGTTCTACAAATACCGACTGCGAAGTCATAGAAAGTCGTCGTCGCGTCGAGTAATTAGAAAATTAACCCCTGCCAGCAGGCCATAAATGAAAATGAAACAACAACTGTGTTTTCGCAATGCGAGCAACTAACTAAACAACAACAACCGGCACTCCACATGGTCGCCACTTGGAAAGTCAGCCAGGCGAAGGCCACTTAGTGACTCTTTTTCTTTTTTTTTTGAGAGGGCAAAAGCGTGAAATGAAAAATAAAAACAAAACGAAAATGAGCGGGTTATGTCACCGTTTTAATTGAAGAACGCGACTTTAAGGTGCAGCTAGCAGGAAGTTTTGTGTTATTTTCACGTTCTCTGCTGTGAATTACTATTACGGCAGGCCATTTCGCACTTGACGCCGTATCTTTCTCATATCTCATATCCGCTATCTTTTAACGCATTTTCCAGGGCTGGCCGTGTGCTACCAGCGGCAATCTGTAAGCAACAACAATCACAATAACGCCGAGGCGAAGCCCACCCACGCACCCCCCTCGCATTTTCCTCATGGCCACAAGTGGAACGAGCCGTACTTTGATCTCACGATGCCCAGGAACATCACATCGCTGGTGGGCAAGTCCGCATATCTGGGCTGTCGTGTCAAGCATCTGGGCAATAAGACGGTGAGTCCGGGGATAACGCACTAAAGGCCAAACACGTGCCGAAAATCTACAAAATCATTTGGCTTTGTTTCAGCAAGCGTAAAAATGAACATACGAGCATGTTCATTAGAATAATATTGATATTTTGGGAGAAGAAGTGTAGCAGAAGTATATTAAAAAGGAGACTTTAACATTTATTTTATGCTTGTCGTTTGCCAAGTCTTGAGTAAACATATATTTTCCACAGTGCAGGCAAGTCAACAGGGAGAGAACAGCCGGAAACATTTCGTATTAATAATCTTGATTTTATTTACATTTAATAAACAAAGAGCCCGAAATGGGGGCGGTCGCAAGTGTGGCGAATGTGTCACCAAATATCCACTTACAGGGCCCAAACAGACAGAGCGGGGTTATTAAATTTGCTGTCAGTTTATTATGTAATACGTGACAGCAGCCGACACCCAAACACACACACATGCTGACCGCTTGGCCCTAGTTTTTCCATGCTCTTTTCTTTCTGGATGGCGTCACTTGATCCACTCAACCCAATTAAAGTCTCCTCCAGCCAGTTGTTAGCCCTTAAGTTTTTCGGGAAACAAAAAGTGTTGCCTTTCGGCGATCAAAATTAAATTGCTTGGTTGCCATAGCAAGGCTGGCTATATAATAAAGATTATTTTTTGCCGCAGACACAATGCGAAAATATTGTGCACGCAGTGGCCAGAATTCAGCGCTTTCTTTTAGTGGGAAAGCTTGCAGGTGTTGGCAGGCCCAAAAACGTTGATAACGCTAAGCGATTTGGCCACGGTCATGGGGCTCATAGATTTCCTTTAGGCCAAATCCGCTTCCGCAATCAGTAAACTACACACACTCACACACATCATCCAGTTAACTGGCCGTGCTCGGTTTTGGCCAACAGTGAATTTATGGCCAGCCCAGGCTAAAGTTTACTTTCCAACTTTTTTCGCCCTTTTTCCTGCTGCTATTGCAGAATTAGACAGGCGGCCAGACGGCAGGAAAGTGGAACTGCACAGATGGATGCCACACAGTTGGCTGACTCTGTCTCTGTCTGTCTTTTGGACCGTGTGTGTTATTGGTTAGACAGTTAGCCGCATAAACAAGGAGCCTCCATGGCCAAAAAACAGGGAGGCAGAAAGGAAAAAGTAGAAATGGAGTAGAATCCAAAAATGGACGGACACAAATTTGTGTCAAATATAGTGGGCAATGTCGAGTGAATGTCGCAGTATGGGGAGTATCATTTTCCGGGTCTGTCATGCGTTCCGCACACTAATTTCAGTTGTATGAAAATTCAGCCTGTGAGCTGCATAAATTTTGCGGTTTCTGCGGCGGCCAATGGCCCCCAACGAGCTACAATCAGAGCCTCTTTAAATTCCTCGGAACAGCGTACTAATGGAGGTCCTTCCCCAGGTTGCTTGGATACGACATCGTGACCTGCACATCCTCACCGTGGGCACCTACACCTACACGACGGACCAGCGGTTCCAGACCTCCTACCACCGGGACATCGACGAGTGGACCCTCCAGATCAAGTGGGCCCAGCAGAGGGACGCCGGGGTGTACGAGTGCCAAATATCCACGCAGCCCGTGCGCAGCTACTCCGTCAACCTGAACATCGTGGGTGAGTAGATGCTCTGTCCCAGATGACATAGGTCTCATATAAGGACTAGCTAGAAGGCGATGGCCCAAATCACACCCAAAATTAAAGGTTATTCAAACGATTATATAGACATTACTGGTGAAAAAAAGAGAGAAACGTTAAAAAGATTCTTATAGTTTCCGGTTCTAGTGCAGAAACATCTTGTGAATTAGCTATAGTCCATATTTTCAACTTGCAAATCAATAGATCACCTAGTTTCACTTAAAAAAACATAGTCTAGGGATCCCGTGCCTCTTTTCAGAGGACTGTATTTCTACCGGTGTAAAATATATCTTGTAGAACGCTCGTAAACCCCCAAGTATTCCAGATACATGCAGCCACTAAATAATTCCGGGCCTCTGTGTGGGGAATTTCGTATACTTCCCTGTATTGTTTTAACATATTCATGCAATTTTCAAGTGTGTAAATTATGCACGCTTGGCAATCGTCACAGCAGGATATAAAAGCGGGCTGCTCTGCCGGTAAATATGACAGGAATTTTTCGCGAGATTCTTTTGGGCAGATTGATGGACTGACAGGAACTGGCAGGAGCCACACACACACACACACGAATGGATATCGACAGGATGCCATTTATACGGGATTTAAGGTGTAGATAACAGGGAAAACCAACTGCGCAACGAAAAAATACGTGTATTTCTAAAAATAACATTTATCCTCTTTAAGCCTGGGGCCACAGTACGTTTTTATATTTTGGTTGAATTATTTTCATGGTTTTTCTAAATCAAGCGCATAGCTGAATAACAAATTCCGAATGGGGACAGCAAACTGATGGATCGAAACTTGAAGTTTTTTCCTTTAAAAAGCCAACAAATTAGGATTGAATTATTCAGTAGGTGGACTTGGCCCCCGGAATCATAATGAATGGTTTATTTCTATTTTTGGTTTGCCTGATTAGTCAGCCATGGGCGTACTTTAATTATTTTAACGTTTTTCTATTTATATTTTGCTTTCATATGTTATTCTCCCATTTTCCTTTGTTTATATTTTTGGTTACCCACCGATGTGGCGATGCGCAGACCTGATAGACGCCGAGACCAGCGATATGATGCAGCAGTATTATAACGACGACGCCTTCTATATAGCCGAGAATCGGGTGTACCAGTCCAGTAACGATGAGTTCGCCGGCATGTTTGGACCCATTCAGACAGTTGCGGGTTAGTCCTGGTGGAGGCTCGGGATCCAGCCATCCTCTGTTCTGGCAGCACACTTATTTTTTGGCCGAGTGACAAGTCCGACCGCAGATAGAGGAGAAATTAGGTGCCAGACGGAGATGAGAGCTCCGCTCGAGGGCTGCCATGCATGCATATTATTTTTTAATATTTTACAACATTTTTGTGCCAGCTGAGGGGCAGGAGGGGGGCAGGATGGGCGCAGGATGTGGGGTGTTTGTGGAGTCAAGTGCTGGGCGCCCGGAGCAAGCACTTTTCTGGCTCATGACGAACAAATTGCTTTCCAACAAGCTTTTACCCACTAACTTTGCCAGCTTGTTACGGTTACTGTTACTCCTCCACCTATTATTTTCTACCTTTTCGCAATTTCCCGGTCTGCGTTCTGTAGTGCTGGCACAATTTCACAGCCAGACGTTTGCCACATCCGCAAATAAAGCAACTTGAATTGCTATGAAGAGTGGAATTCAAATTGTTTCAAAACAGTAATGGATACAGTAACATGCTCCAAATTAGCAATTTCAAATAATAAACAAAACTAACAAGAGGGGTGCTTCTTTTTGTTAAATATAAAAGTAATTATTTTAACAGCATATTTATTTAGCATTTTTGTGTGTGTTTTTTTGTTTTTTTGTGTATTTTTGATGCCTAATTTGATACTATTTAAATTTCGTCGCATCTCTACCCATAAAAAAGCCAACAGTGCAGCACTGCCTTTCTCCCATTTACGGCCAAGTGGTTCGCACATTTAATTATACCCAAAGCCTTTGCAATATTTATTTTGCCGGAGATTCAGGGACTTAGTCATTCAGGGTCAGTGTTTTGCAAAGGCCGGGGTACTCATCACTATGTCCATTGGGACACAGGCTGGCATTGAATTGGCCCTCCTCGTAGAGCTTTCCTTTAACTGGTGGTCCTGAGCTATAGTAGCAAACGAGCACAAAGTGTATGTTCCAGAGATCGTAGTCCTGGCCAGCAGCACAGCCCATATGGGAGCTGCGATCGTTGATGATATTCCTGATCTCTCCCTCCGCATTGTATGTGGATATATCCTCCAAGTCGAAGAGCTCATCCAGCCATTGCTCCGCCAGGATGGTCATTTCGCGAACATTCGATTGCCGCATCACTGGTCTTGGGTAGAAATCCTGGGCGTAGTTGAAATGGGGCTCCGCAAAGTCATCGGTGGCCACGCAGGAGTCGGCAGGCAGCTCCATTTGGCAGCGTTTCAGGTGGTATTCGGCCACCACCGACAGGTAATTGTCCCACACCAATTCGGGCATTTTCCGGGCAGGTGGCAGGTCGGGAAACAAGTTGCTGGCCACCTCCTGGCGATATCCGTTGTGGAGGCCCAGCAGATACTCGCGAAAATATGCCATATTAACCAGGCCATGAAAACGCAGGCAGCTCTCATCGAACATCTGGAAAAAGGGGTTTGAATAGTTCTTGTAGCCAGTGGACCCTACCCACCATGCTGTTATTGCACCCAATGTGCCGCTTGCCATGGCAGGACTTAATATCACAAAAGTCTATAGCAAAAATAGATCTGAGCAACAAAATACGACTCAGAAAAAGAGTCAACTGCAATCGTTGCATTTCTGTTTAGAACTAAAATGAATGGGAAATTTAAAGGTGTTATAAGAGTAATGCACAACAAACCCCAACTGCCAAATGGCAAGTGAAACGAAATAACTATACAAATTGTTAAGCGCAAGCAAAGTACACAAAAATGCAAAATGCAACTAGGGAATTTATATATTTGACGTTTAATTTAGTGCTGCAAAATGTCTTTTCCGTGTTGGGCAATGTTAAAGTATGCAAAAAAGTAATAGTGCTGACTTAAGCTAATTAAATTACAGCCTGATTAATATGAATAGATTCAATGAAGTGCTATAATATTACACTTTGTCAGAGACTTGCACATTTTCCAAAGCCTCATTTCTTATGCCGAAAACAGAGAGTCTCCCAATGAAAATATCAAGTTCGCCGATGGATCCCCAAGTAGCATAAAATTGAGCTGTAACCCAACTTAAAATCACTTTCAACTTTGTGCAGCCTTGTCCTTTTCAAAGTTTGCCTTTCTGCCCGCCTGACGGGCGGTAATCGATTATTTAACGTGCTGACTTTGACTGGCACGCCAGTTTCCCTGCTCCGGACTATGGAAATTGGCACAAAGCCGAGCTGGACCGGATTGGCCTGGCCAGAAGTTGGGGACTTGGGTACGTGGGTACGTGGGGCACATGTCACTGGTCGCCGGCGATGTGCTGCAAGCTGGGAAAACAAACCATTTTGCAATTTCACAACTCGTCAGAGCTGGGAAAAATGGGAATGGCGCTGATTAGGCGACGTAACACAGTGATTAGCAGAGCCCGGGAATTTTCGGATTTATAAAGGGAATGGCACAGGCGGTGCATGGCCAGTAAATATCTCATTCCCCCTCCACAATTTTCCATTCGCAGTGCCCACGGCCACCATTCTGGGAGGTCCCGATCTGTACGTGGACAAGGGCAGCACCATAAATCTCACTTGCATCATCAAGTTCAGCCCGGAGCCACCGACCCATATCTTCTGGTATCATCAGGATAAGGTAAATATCTCTCGAAATCAATTTACAGGCTAAGAGTAACCAAAAAAAAGCAAAAAAAGCGAGAAAAATTAAGCGGCCGAGGGCAATAGCAATTTAAGGTTTTCCTCTTTGGTGCCAAATTATCGTGCAATAATTGAGTTTGTGCGCAGTAAAAAGCGCAAAAGTGGAGCGTGTGCGGGGGGTGCGGGGCGGTAAGGATAAAGGGCGGAGCCACGCCCAGCCAATTGCTGCAGGATAAACGTTTTTAACTTTTATGAGCTCTGTGCTGGCGCCTCTCCAATGAGAGTGTGCAAGTTGTGAGTGTGAGTTTGTTCGCGTTTGCTTACGCGTCGTATACGCAATGTATTTAATTTTGGCTTTTATGATTATGAGAAAACATGCTTTTGCATTTAGCTCAGCACTCAGCGGAGCTTTGGCTTTTCCAGCGAGGGAAAGTCGCACTTAATATGACAAGCACACCCACGCATATTTTTTTTTTTTTGTTTCACCTTTAGGTGCTCAGCGAGGAAACTTCGGGCGGCCGGCTGAAATTCAAGACCATCAAGTCGGAGGAGACCAAATCCATTTTGCTCATTTACGACGCGGATCTCCTGCACTCCGGCAAGTACTCGTGTTATCCTTCGAACACGGAGATAGCCAGCATACGCGTCCACGTCCTTCAGGGTGAGTTTCGCCTCCTTTCATAGCCCACGGTTTCTTTGGCCGCTATCAGGTTCTCACTTTAAGCCTTAATTGGATGCTTGAGTTTGATAATGTGAATTATACATTCATGCATCTGCTTGACCTCGATTTGTATGCATTAAACTTGCATCTCGTTCTATCTGTGATGGGCCAACTTTTGCGCAATTTATGAGCTGTGGCCACAACAGATGTGCACTTGCAAAAATAAGAGGTCTTCAGAACAAGCAAATGATATGATATAAATATGATTGAGCTATTTTATTCCTAAAACAGAGAGAGTAACTTTTCTTGCAATATATTCTTCTACTTAGAAATTTATTCATACTACAAATTTTGTAGATTTTTCTTCTTATTTCCAACAACATATCTGTTCAATAATGCAGTGAGAACTAAGCAAATTCGGGCCAAGTTAATAGCAAATGTAGACCTCTTTGTAATGCAGACAAGCTACAAATTGTTGCGCATTCAGCGCAACGAATCTGGTCATTTTCCACTAAACATTTTCCATTTCCACCTTCCATTCTCCGTTTCCCATTTCCCATTTCCCATTTTCCATCTCCATTTCCATCTCCCGCACAGGCGAGCGACCCGAGGCGATGCAAACGAACGCCGCTCCGGCCGCCGTTGCCCTGGCCTGTTGGTCCTGTCACTTTGGCCAGGCCACGCAGGCGGTCAGGGTAATTAGCACAATGGTGGCGGCACTTGTATTGTTGGAGGCCTGCTCCTCGCTGCTCCTGCAGGGCGGTGGAGGCGGAGGAGGATGTTCTGGAGGAGGAGCGGCCGCAGGAGTTGGGCCCACTCAAGCCAGGGAGATGCTGGAAAAACCGCGCACAAGTTCCCCGTGTGACCCCAAGGTGCCCTCGACGACGTCCGCGGAGCGTGTCAATAATGGCAGCCGGAATGCACGGTGATAAATTAATGTCGCCCAGTTGGAATTCCACCGCCAGTGCAGCCCCCGCGTGCAGCTGAAATGATTTATACTCCAAGTTACAGGAGCAGCAGCAGCAGGAGCAGAATCAGCAGCATCTGAGGTCCTTCCACTCCAGCTGCATGTAATACCTATCTGGAAAACCAACTAATTATGCTAATGATGGAAGAAGCCGCGTCGCTGCTCCTGGAGCTGCTCCTCTGCACCTTGGCAAGTTGTAAGTAAGCGTGCTTCTAATTAAGTGGGCTGGGGATTAGTTAGTTAGGCGGAAATCGGAGCCATGTACATAAACTTCTCACGTAAATTGCCAGCACACTAGCGAACCTAGCTAAATGGAAAGCATTTCGAACGAATCATCAAATTAGAGAACTATATTCAAGTGGTTTGCTTATAGAGCCATGGCTAGAAGTTTATATAAATAATAAAGGACATGGGCGCAGGGGTGTTTTGCAGCTAGTCGAGATTTAAAAGCAGTCATTAAAGTGTCTATGACCTAAGGTAGCGCATAATTTGTTCTGTAGCAATAAGGCAAAGAAATTTCATTTGTACATAGTGTAGCACTTGACTACTGTTTTTGAATATCCGCGGACTTCTGGAGGACCCCCCATTACTAGCTTAAGTATATACATATGTAGCGAATGTTTACTCAGATCGTTGTAAATACTATTGGTATTCGTTCTTGATTCTTGATTTATCTGTGTGTGGCCCGTGGACTACCCTGTATAGCCTAGAGTTTAAGCAATGTACATACTTAGAGATACAAAGTAGCTAACTGTTTCGACACGAACTTCTTCGAAGGTTCCTAAACTAATTTTCTGAAAAATGTACATGTCCCATGGTCTCTCTCAATAAGCTATGGGAACTTGGAGAATGCATGAGAAATTCCTGCCAAAAACCCGCCTCAGTTTGAAGTGCGACTTTCCGGCTAGCAATTTATTTGGAAGAATTTCGAATTTCTCCAAGTCATGTGGGCAGTTCCTGTGCCCATTTACCATCTACCAACTCCGAGCAATTGCTGCGAGTTCATTGCTCCCAAGTCCGGCGAAATTTAGAGCCACCCAGCTCGGCATGTCCGGTTGCATTTATATAGCTATAGCCCTGCCCCACCGGAAAAAAGGGGCAAAAGACGTGGACGAAGACACAACCAACCGGCAAGTCACTTTTCACTCTTGTCAACAAAATATTTGCATTTCCATTTCGGTCCGAGGCCGTCGAATGTGTCCACGTTGGGTTTGGGCTCGTCTTGAAGGACTTTGTCCGGGAAACCGGGCTCCTCTTCCTGTGCCACATTTAAAAATGTATGGGTTCCACGGCCGGCAAATGGGACTGAGTTTAACTGATCAAAATTGTAAATAAACCTGCATATATGCCATATGAATAAACTATAAATTGTACTCAAGTATTCGTGTGGTAGTCATACATTACATATACGAAAACACAAACATAAGAATGCACAGTGCTCGCAAATCGGACATATATATAGATATAGATATGGATTTATATACGTATATGGATGTATCGATATTAAAAATGTAAACCCAACGCATGCAAAATTAGTCGCGACATGTAAATGAATGTTTAATGGGTAAATTAATGTTGCCACAAATGGGACAGGAAAAAACCATGAATATAATTGCAATTACGCAAATAAAATGAAATATATGTTATAAGCATAATAAGGGCAAAAATAGCGAGTATTATAACAGAAGCCGAAAAGCGGAAACAAAAACAAACTCTGTTGACTTTTGTTGCAAACAAAATGGCAACGCATTATAAAGATTATGAAATTGTTTTTAATTTTTAAGCGAGTAGCCACGTAAACATGAAAATCGGAATGAAAAATTTCAATAAAGTTTTTTAGTTATTACCATCCAATGATAAATATGTATAACAAAAGCCTGTATTTTCTCTGATTTTTGGGAGGCTGCGAGCAGTTGCCACATGCTGAGTCGAATCCTGGTAAGATTTATGTAAATATTTTCCATTGCCATTCATGCATTTGGCTTGGGAATTTTAATGGGCCACACGCACAAGCCGACAGACAAAGGAATTTTCCGAGGGGCACAACCACGGGAGACTGCAAGTTTCCTCCGCCTTTTTCGGGGGCGCCATTTTCCATTTTTCAGCCTAATAAAGCCGCAATGCAAAAAACAGGGCCGACCACCAAAACTGATGGCAAGAAGAATGGGCATTAAGTGCCTGGCTGGCAGCTGCCCTACGACTAGCTCTGGGCCATGTGTGGCAGGACTCTGTTTGCGCTTTGGTAAGACATCAAAAGCCGTTAACATAAAAGTTTATTATATGACAAGTGTGTGTGTGCCCGCGCGCAAGTGTGTGTGTTTGTCCTGGGCCGCAATATCATGCCAAAAAGTTTAATAGCGCACAACGCGTCAACCCAGGACCTCTCCTCCTTCGCCCACTTTCCCCGAATCCATCGAGTGGAAAGCGTAAGGGGCGCATAAGGCGCATGAGGCCCATGAAGCGGAAAGTTCCCACTCCTCTCGGCGGAGGGACAGGA